AGATCAGACCACAACTAATTAAGAATATTATGCTTTATTGAAATTCAGATAACAATGATTGTGAAAAAAACCTATAAAAGTATCGATATGTAGACCATAAAATGCAGAGCATGAATTAATTCACTCAGATAATTATTAAACATAACGGGGGTCATAAGGGGTGAGAAATGACAAAGAATTCATTATCGTTTAGGAAAAGCTACCATCATGAATAAGTTGATATGAGTAACAGAAAACGATGGGAGTAAAATATCGTAGTGGTGATACTTACATTAAAGTATTCCTGCTTGGCTTCATCCACCAGCTCAATAAGTCGTGACATACCCTCTCCAGTAATCGAGGAGACGCCACAACAGCGCAGGTTGGTGTAGAACTCATCAAGAACAAGACACATTGAACTAGTCAAGCTAGCCATGTAGGGTGAACAGCCAAGCGGGCCACCTGCAACGCCACCACAGCCACCGGAGTCAACCGCTTCAGGGGGACCACCATAGCCGGGCTGACGAGCGGATAATGCGTCCTGAAATGCTTCGAAGTCACGCATCCACTCGATTGCAAAGGAGCAATCAAGTACGTCTGTCTGAGGGAGACCAAAGAATTAGGAAAGAAGGAAAGTTATTATAAGAGGGATAAGACAAGCAAACTGATGGTGGATAGAAATACTAGATTGTGAAGTAGATATATCCGAAGCTAAGGAAAGCGGTGCTCTCAGAAGCTAAGGATGGAAGGAGACATTCGAGAATGTATTCAGTCAACTGTTTGGTGCTAGAATGGCAGAGGACGCAGTAAAGAATACATTTTTAAGCCTTTTAAGAAAATCATAACTAATTTGTGAAAACGAAATTAAATAAAGTCGTTGTTTGACCTTGTTTTCGCTACTTGGTCATATTAGTGGAAGGACGTAGGGAACACACATAATCCGGAGTCAATTGTATGGATGATAATTTCCGGAGTCGGACTGTGGACGTGGTAAATTGCCAGACGTTTCGCCGGCATCTTAGTCGGCATCGTCAGTGAGTCTTGCCACCACACTAAAACTCGTCAAAAAGACAAGTGAAGCCGATCCTTTGACCAATTGTCTGCTAAACAATCGTAGTATTTCTCCTTACCCCCTAGGTCAATCACCAATACTAGATCCTAGCTCACACTTTCACTATCATAATTTTTTACTTGCTTATTTAAATGTGGTATAGTGTGCTCTGTTAAACGGCTTTGATGAGAACTCTCCGCACTCTACGCTGGCTTTCTTACCACCTCAACCCCCTTACCTTTGTGCTAGGAATGTGGATCAGAGTCTGCCCTATTGTTACACAGTCCTCCTTCCATAGGCCCTTAAGAATTTACCTCTTGCCCCGTAGGATCCGTCTGCTATCTCCCTGGTCCAAGTATTTTACTCAACCTCTGCCACCCATCTGTGATACTCGAGTCGCTATTTCCCACACTGCGCCTGGGAGACTAATTTGAGGCAAAAGCCCCTGAGTAATTAACATGGTCAAGTCTGCGTCATGGACACAAGCCCACTGTCAGCCAACTAGCTCTAGTCTCCGCCGCTTCGATCCTATTTATATCTGTAATACCAAGTCTATCCCTTCCTATGCCCTAGTCTCTTGTGTGCCAACCTATGAATGTTGTGGTTCAACATTGAACCTAATCAAGCAAGTAGTGCCGCAACATTGTGGGTTGGCACACAAGAGACTAGGGCATAGGACGTAATAGACTTGGTATTAGGGATAGAAACAGGATAGACGCAGCGGAGACTAGAGCTAGTTGGCTGACAGTAGGCCTGCTTTAACATAGACGTGCTCCATGTAGCAAAGGTGTGACCATGAGACTAACTCGGATGCTTTAGACTCGAATTGGTCACTCAGACGCAGAGTGTGGGTAAAAATTGTGATAATGAAGTTGTGATACGGGGATATAGGATTGATTAGCTCAGGGCGGAAGAAGAGATACTGCGATTGTTTAGCAGACAATTGGTCAAAGGTTCGACTATAGTTGTCTCTGACGTGTTGTAGCGTGGTGTTAAGACTGGCGATGCTCGCTGACAATGTCAACTACGATGTAGGCGAAACGTTTGGGGATGTACTAAGTCCACAATCCGAATTTGGAAATGATCAGGCATACAATGGACTACGGAGTAGGTGCGTTGCTCAAGTCTTCCTATTAATATGACCAAGTTTCGAAGACAAGGTCAAATAACTTCTATACAACGAAAGGAGACTGCGAGCACACAACAGGTCTTTATACATTCGATTAAATAAATTCGGTTGATATCAAGAAAACAAACTGTTATGTTTTAGAAATCGACTATGTTAATTTTATTTACTCTTAGTAATTATTCAAGATCTAATGAAGGCCTCGAAATTACTAAATATGAATATAAGTAATGTAGTAGATAATAGATGGCAAAATACAACCTTGCTTCACCCAAAATTCCACTATACATTTTATAGGAAGAATGCCAGATCGCACTTGAAATTCACCCTTGTCCTGTGACCCACTAGTATTCGTGTGGGTGGGCTGTAATGGCAACATGTTAAAAATATACGCTCAACTAGCCTGGTAAGACAACCGTTGTGGATGCTAATGAGCCCAGGCGAGGTCGAAACTGCAGCCTACCAACGCAACATAAAAGGCTAGACTAATTGGATTGTTCAGGAGTTTACTATGTATCATGCGGCGCCTGCGAACAGAAATATATTGGCAAAACAGGGAGAAAAATTAGCACACGAATCAAGGAACATCAGAGGCTATGCAGGAAAATGGATACCGAAAAATTAGAACTAGCGGAACACATCGCACAGACTTGAAACGACATCAATTGGAATGCAGCAAAAAATAAGAACACCATATGGTGACAAGACAAGGAAGCGAAAGATTAGGGAGGCCAGTGACATGAATGGGGAGAAAAATCTAATGAACAGGAGATTGGCGGAAGGTAGAGTTAGCGATAACTTTGCCTACTGTGTAAGCAAACTCGGGGAAAACAAGAATAGAGCAAGACCAGCAAAAAGGAAACGCCTGGATCAAGGATCTACCGCTAACCGGAGGAAAAGTGATCGTGATGAAAAAAGTGGGGGGCAGGGGATTTCGGCAATAAAGCGAAGACGTTGTCAGTGAGTGATGTCCATTTCGAATAAACCAGTACAACTTTGCAGGATTGGCATTCAAGGAATGGGTAGACGGATAAGTAAACCCTTATGGTAATTCGGCGTTATACCCAAAATGCACTAGAAATCTACTTGAAAGGCAACATGTGACCAGAGATAGGCGTCTACAATTTGCTCAGATAACATGGATTTAATCAAGGAGACGACCCGTGAAGGGAAAACCTGAAATCTACAAGCATGACAATTAGAGCTTAGGCGTTCTGCTCAGTTAAGCGGCAGTGTACGTGCTTCCAGAGCCTTGAGAAAAAGCACCTGGAGTGAAATGCACACTGGAACTGGAGCCGAGTGTAATCGGTCAAACCAAAAGATAAGGAAAGGATCTACGAGACAGGATTGGAGGCCCGAGTCGGATGAGCCGATCAAAAGAGAGGGGTCAGGGTAAATAGCAAGTGTGATGAGGCCACACTAGATTTGCCACAAAAGGGCACACATTTTG